TAGAAAAAATCTGGTAAAAGTTACAGGGGAAAACCTCAGTTTTAATACTAAAGATACAACAACATCACACAAAGCCAGGTTACACATGTCACTCCTCGATCAATTGACCTTTGTCCACTATGACTCAAGTCCAAGATCAAGGCAACCCAGCTCATTGCTCAGTTTGCTTAAGTAAAATATTGCCTTCTATCTTGGGACATCACAAATTATCTTTCCTGCAAGAAAATGCAGTTAATTGCCAATTAATGTACTAAGTTTTGGGTAGAGTTAGAATCTGGAAAAGTTAGATGTGTTTGCTTTAATGACATTCTGTGTCAAAGTGAACTGATAGAAAACACAGAAACTTCAACCATTTTACATATTAACTAAGAGAGTTAAAAACACATGGTACTGTCCTGTACCACAAACTTCATGTTAGTGAAGACTGTGTAAGTGCAGATGACTTCCTGTTTTCTTTTCGAGTTGGTTCTTTAATAATGAAAGCTAGAAGGCCAGTTTTTTTTGTTTCAGGCCCTTGCTGGTAATAAAGTATGCTTTATACAATAACTTGTACATTATTGTACACTACTTCTCTTACTGAAAACCCAAATTGCATAAGTAAAAAAACAGTGTAAATTAAATTATTAAAACCCAATATTAGGTTTTACAATTCTATACTTGAGATGTAATAACATATGCCTGTGATTCATTCCAAGGTTCTGGATAGATCAGTTAAGCACATAGTTACCTGATGACTGCAAAAGCAAAAGACTTGTAGATATAGTTAAGTAAGTGTGTAGTATTCACAGATAAAACTGATTTTCCACAAGAATAACAAGATAGGTCGAAAGAGTAACAGAAGTTTTGACCAGGAAATATATTATAAAATAATTCTGAATTCTCTAAATCTAATTAAGTTTGTGAAAGAAAGAATCTAGACCAAATTTAAATTGTTGTCTACTTTCACACAGTATGTACAACTTTGCATAATCTTTTTCATGGGAAGACAGTGGTTATTCCATAGATAAGTGACACAGAACGATAAGCAGCTAGAATGAAAGGAACTTAACAACTTTCTTGACTAACATGCCATATGAAAATTGTACATACATTGAAAAATTTGGTAAAAATCTTTACCAAAACTAGGAGTAGCAAATACATAGCATGCCTGCATACTACCTGTGTAAGAATTGTTCTAGTGATTTGTTGCAGGTTGATTTAGAGAACTAAGTTGATGTGAAGAAGAACAAAACAAAGACTTTATTTTCAAGATACAGGCTGATAGACTGGTGGAAGGAGACTAATGCATTGTTATAAATAAAGGAGCAAAATAAACTGCATTTAAATTAAAAAGGAGAGAAAGTGTATTTAACAAATGAAAATAAACTTGAAACTACTTAGCTAATTGAATGACCAAAAGTAAGGCAATAGGCTAAACATTGTGAAAATTGAAAATAGGTTCAAGGCTTTAACAGTTAAATTCTAACTATTTTAACTGACTAAAACAAATCTGACCTGACATTTTCAAAAACTATTCTTGCAATACACATTCTCTCTGTAACTAAACATTCACAAAATTATAGCATAAGTATCTTGAGGCCTCTCTTCTCTATTTGATAACTGGAAATCAATCCTGCAAGCATAAGGACATAATACAATTAACCTCTGAAATGATAGATAGCTTTCTTGCATGACCAAATCCTGAAACAGAAAGTAACACCTAAGGTTAAATTTGAATATATATATATTTGACTGAACTTATCATGTTCTAAGTTACAATTCTAGGAATATTCTGTATGATATAAGATATATGCTACAGGAGAAAGAGTGAGATATGTGGTACTTGTGCATCACACCTATTTTCTGGAATGTACCAGATGTGTTTAATCTAAACATTCATGGTAATGAAATAAGTTATAATTTGTATTAATAATGTAATTCCAACATGATAACTTATCATGATATTTTTGCTTGCCACAAGCCTTGAAACTCCCACCTACCCCATTTTCAATGTCGTTCTATTGCATTTTCACTTCCAAATAAACAGGTGGTAACCCTCCACCAATAGGAGCACGATACACTCTCCTGATGTAGCAGGTTATTTCCTCTATACTATTCAGCCTAACCTTCATTTCTCATTTAGGCACAATCATGTTCAGACTTCACAGAATTCTGTTTATAATTTGACACATGCTTTTTTTTTGTTTCTCAAAGTAGTCATTGTTGTTGTTATTTTTTTGCAGTTATTAAGCATTTAACTTATGATTTTCTTTATTTTTCATGGAATTATCACAATTGAACCTGAATTCTAAATTTCGTGTCACGAATACTACTGTCTTGACTACAAATATTTTATATGTGGTTTCTCAGGCTTCAGGTTCTACGCTTTTGGCTGAGGAGGTCTCAGCCTTAGTTTGATGAGAGATTGAACACTACATGAGACAGCTAGCTTCTCCCAAACCTGGACAAGTTCTCCCTTTTCCAGAGGAGCCTGGTTTTGATCTCAAAGAATTAGAGTGCTTTTTTCCTCCCCTATCCTATGTTGTGCAATCCTATGTGTCACCTATGGATGCTGCCAGGTATGTTACATTTTGTCTGGGTCACCCTAGATCTTTGGATTTTTCTGCTTTGGCTTATTGTCTAGCAGACTTTCTTTCTTTTTCTAGACACAACTCTTGGAGTCTTTGACGCAAATGTGTGTGTGTGGGGGGGGGGACAATCCTGATTCTCCGGTTAAGTTCTCCCCTTTATCCTTAAGTATCTATATACCATTCACCTCCTGCCTGAGGGTATTCATTGATCCCCTTCTGGTTTTTTTGTGAGGAGACCAGCACCCTCATATTTTTCATGATGGCAATTTTATAATCTGCAGTTCTTTTCCTTCCTAACATTACTCTTCTGCTGCTAGGATCTCCTTGGTAGGGATTCACCTTTGTCTCAGATGTGCCTACCCACTACCTGCCTGTGCAACCTCAGAAAGGCACCATTTTTTACCAGATCTCATTTAGGAAATGTCCCTGAGTTCTTGGAGTCGTGGGTAGAGTCTGAATGACAACATTCCAACATTTATTCTTTGGCTTCCAAGTTGTCTCAGCCTTCACCAGCCCCTGCTCCCATTCCCATTTCTTGTACCCACATTTTCAATTTTTACCTGTTCCTCTTTCCAGGGTTTTGATAGTGAGTCATATTTCTCACCACAGAAGCAAACTACCAACTGTATCGGTGACTGCCCAATGGGATCTGGCAAAGTAGGTGCCCACCTGGCCATATTTATTCACATTTGCCAAGAGTTCACTTCTGATCCTTGGGTTCTTCAGGTGCTGTCTGAGTGCCTCTTCATTCACTTCTTCCCCCCATCTGTTGTCAACAGATCCTATTTCCTTACCCCTTCTGGATCCCACAACTTGTCAGCATCTCTTTTCCTCAATGAAACTATTGAAACAGTCAGTCAAACTTCTCCAGACTGTTGGTAGTTCCCAAACAGAACTTTGAATGGCATCCAGTGTTAGATTTTTTTCAGCTCAACTGATTCATAGACCTACCCCATTTCACTAAGCAATTTTGTTTCTCACTCTACGATGGGTCATCACTCCAGGTCTATGGATGACCAAGGTAGATGTCTCGGATGCATACCTTCACATCCATATTGCCCTTCTTTCTAGTTGGTCACTTTGGTTTCCCCACAAGGGTTGGGTTTACTAGTTTCGCATGCTACCCTTTGGGCAGGCCACAGCACCTTATATGTTTGGTCAGGGCCTTAGCTTGACTACTCCATCCAAAGAGCTTGCATTTTTATCATTCTATGGATGACTGTCTCTTAATGCTCCATCAGAACCAGCAGCACATGAACTTGCACAGTTGCTTCTGTGTAGGTTGGATCATCAAATTGGAGAAGTCCTACCTTTCATCTATCCAATACCTTGTCACTTGGGAGTTTTTTCAACTAATCCCTAAGTAGGGCCTGACCTGTTTCTTCTCGTCTATGCTCAAAGGAGTTTTTAGACATCAAGGCCCTTACCTCTCCTACAATAAATGCTTGCAATGTTCTTTCTCTTTTGGGAAGTTGGCTTCCATGGAAACTCTTATATCCTTAGGTTGTGCTGACATGTGCACCCTTCAATGAATGCTGCATAACCAATGGAACTTTGACAGAGAACCCTTGGACTCCATTTTCTATCTCCCACCTTCCCTTCTAATCATTTTAACATGGTTGCTAAACAATAACAACATCATGGTGGGTGTTCCTCTTTTACCTCCTCATCCCGAGTTGCTCTTGTTTACAGATATTTCACTCATAGGTTTGGGGCATGTTTGGAGCATCTGGAGATTTCAGGTCATTTGGTCTCTTGTTCATACACATCTACATCTTCTCATGTTCAGGATGCATTCAATCTGGTTGCAGGTCATCTTTCTCATCCCAAATAGGCCCTCCCCACACAGTGGTCTCTAGACCCTCAGGTTTTCCAGTGGATTTGTACACAGTGGGGTTCTCCTCATATGGATGATTTTATCACACATTGCATCACCAAACAATCCCTGTTCTTATCCACAGTACACTGACTACACTGGACCAACTTGTGCCTATAAATCTACCCACTGATCTGTCTCCTACCCAAGGTGACTTCCATCATCCAGTTCACTCTGCGTTGAGTATTTATGATAGCTCTTTCTGGCCACCAAAGCCCTGGTTCCTGGTTCTTATTCTCCTCCAAATGACATCCTCATTACCTTTTTCTTTTTTGTCATCCCTCTTCCATCAACCTCCATTGTTGGTTTTCTTCCTACACTTCCCAAACTCTGACTTCATATGTGGCTTTTGTCCAGTCCTTTTCAAGGAGATCTGGACTCTCTACACACATAGTTTCATTTTTGTCCCATTCAATTCACGCTTTCTCATTCATGGTTTATCATGGACAGCAGCAGACTTTTTGACATTGATCACTGTGCCATGGGTTCTTTCCTTCCCAACCAACCATACCTCATGTTGCAGAAGTTTACCTGACAGTTTGATCATAACTCCTTAGTATCTGCCATAGCTGGATATTGAGCAGCATTGTCCAACACCTTCCATTTCTTCTCCCAATTTTCCCTTTTGTTATGTTCCTTTTAGATCAGTCAATCTCCTTGTCCTACAATCTTGCCAGATTGGGATAATAATTTTGTTCTCCACACCCTTACCTATCCTCACTTTGTACCCTTTATCGCCTGTTCACTCTACCATTTATCTGTTAAACTCTCTTTCCTACTCCTTTTGGCCTGTGATTATCAGAGGTTGGACATTTACACCATCGATGTTTCATGTACTATTTACAGCTACACCTATGTTCCCCTTTATCCAGATTGTAGCTTCCTCCCCAAGAAATCTGCAGCTTATAGAGAATGGCAACAGGTGAAATGTGATATTTGGATGAGGAAGAAACAGCCACAAAATGTAGGTAGCAGGAGATAAACGTGTTAGAAGTAGTCCACATATCAGATAGGAGGATCTCCTTCAAAGGACGATGCAGCTGAGCAGCCAGGGAAAAAATAAGATGGCGAATTTGGTGAGATGACACCTGGAAGAGATGTTAGGAATTGGGATAAAGGGATGTATATTCCAACAGGATAATATGACAAATCCAAGCATTGAGGGTAGAAGGTAAAACATCTCGTTTAAAGGATGGATTTCAAGGAAAGAATAATATGGAATGAGAAACACTGAAAAAAAGCCATCGAGGAGATATAACAATAGAGAGCACAAATAAGAAATAGAAGTATATCCAGATCTGTACAGGAGTATAAATGTGTAAATGGAAGGAGGGAAACAGCATATAAAAAGAGTTGTCCTCATGTGATGGTTCAACTATGTATTGGTAAGTTTCCTTTTCTCTCTACCATACAGGGTTATGACCCTTATAGGAAGTGTATCCTGTACTGTAGTGAATGGCGCCTATCCAGGTATACTTTTGGCCATCAGCCACAAAATCCGCATTGTATGGCCTATCACAAAAATATTATATATCTGTTTGGGGTACCCCAGTGAACCACCAATGAGTTGACCCCTGGAATCTGGTGTAGCAAGTAGCTAGACCAGGCAAGTGATTGGCTGGGGTGCCCCACCAGAAAAAAACAAAGGCTAGATATATATATATACATAATTTATACCTCTCTCCTGTCCTATAATGCACACCGTTGAGATGGAGTGTTCCACGAGACCACTAGTAGGTTCACCTTGCAGTATATTGTTGCATCATAATTATGTCCATCCCAGACCATACTAACTCATGGACTATCATGAATAAAGCAGAAGGGGATAGTTGCCCATCCCTGCCATTTCTTTGACTTAATAAATCAGGGGCAGTCTGCTTTTCAAAATAAAGTTTTGTGGTCACCTATTGCATAGTTTCTGGTGTCAGCATTCCTCCAGACTCCCCAACATGCCTTCCCCCTTCTTCAAGTGGAGTATGAGAGTCCTTACCACTTACCAGTTCCTAGCTGCTGTGCTCAATCCCATTCAGTAGGGTGGTGGTGTTCTGCTGGTACAGGTGGTGTAAATCCTCCCACTGACCTCCCAATTCACCTCTCTGGTTGGGACCCCTCATTCTACCATCACCCAGATGTCAGTTTCTGAATGGTAGGTTTTACGTTAGAACTGGATAAGCCAACATAAATCATCATGCATGTGTTGGTCAGGAGTCCTCATCCTACTATGGACACAATGTATTAATTGGCTCAGGGTACCAAGGTGTACCTACTCCTTCAAACTAAGGCTTGGGAGTTCGGTATTGCAAGGAATGGGACTGGCTAACAGGTACTCTGTTTGGTTGGGGTACCTCAGCATACCACCTGGAGGTCATGACTCGTTAGTTCTGGTAGTGCATGGAGCTGGATCAGGAACCAAAAGTCCATTTGATTTTGGATTTGAGTGAACCACCACATGGGCATTTTCCTTCCTACTGTCACTTGGATACTGGGTACCTGAGTGGCTAGTGAGGATTTGTGCATGTGTGCCCTGTCTAGACAGAAGGGATTAGACATTCTCCTTTCCACCTCTTAGGCTTGAGGTATAGATTGTAGGGACCATCCTCCTACTACTGATTGGAAGATAAACATATGATACCATCTGGCTTTGGACTGGAGTTGATCCACCGAGTATGGTCTGATGTGTCCTAACCATTTTACAACTTGGGACACATTTGTTTAGTTTTCCCCAGCATTACTATATTTCATTGGGAACCCTCCATCCAGCCATTTCCTGGATTAGGATTCCAAGGTATTTGTGTTGGGTGTTGAACTGGACCAACCAACATGTATATTATTGTTATGGTCCAACTAACTTCCACTCATTTGGGTGACACATAATTACTACCTCATTGGGCAAAGAGTATACCTAGTACAAATGTTGTGTCGTTTCCCATGGGTGTGTTCATCTCTCAAGAGAGGTCACACTACTTGGACATACTTTGAATGCTTTCCAAAGGTGCTCATCTAGGTAACTTTTCCACTGGTCCCTCCACTATTTCATTGTTGGATTCTAGGTATTATGTGAGAGGAAAGGTAAGATACCATGTTCGAAGCTAACATTTTCCAATAGGTACTTACTTCCTTTCACACTTTTTACCCTTTCTCCTCATTTCCAGTGCTTCTTTTGTGACTAATCTCAAAGTGAAGATTAGTCTGAATAGTATAGAGTAACCTTCATCAGGAGAGTGTGTCATCGCTTTTTGCTGGAAGGTTGCCACATGGTTATTTGCATGTGAAGATGCAATAGAACCATGTTGAATGTGGGGAAGATGGGAGTTTCAAGGCTGGTAACAAGTGAAAACATTTGAGCATATAGAGGGCAGGATTGAAAGAGAGAAGCTATTACCTGAGAGGGGGTAAGTGTAAATGTTAACTTCTTATCTAACGCCTTTTGACTACTAAACTAAGAATAACATCAAAATTGAGAGATTATCATAATTAAGTTTAATACTACTGATAAAATCATAATTCAGATAATAATTCAGTTATATCCTCAGTGCTTGAAATGATAGGAACATATTATATTTGATCATTCTGTAGTGACAGTGGAATTGTAAAGAGTGATTTATACTTGCAGATAAAACATTTATTACAATTTGCTAAGAATCATTAGTAATATTTGGATTTTTGAGATCAATAGCTTGGTCATGAAGACAGAAGTTTTTATACATAAAATTATTTATTTATGGCATTTAAATGAGAAAAAGTTAATCTAATCAATGTTGATATATACGAAAAAAAAGCTTTTAAATTCTGGAAATGTTATACTTTTTCAATGGACTATATGTTTTCAAATGTGCATGTCTGTACACATACTTTTTATTCATTAAACTTTTATAACAGTTTTGACACGGATTGTTTCTTGGCTTACAGAGAGAGCAGTTTGTTATTCAAACTGTTCAACGTACTCTTCGAATAGACAGCTTACGGGCTACTCATCCTGTTACAACTAATTCTGTTCATGAAGATCCACGTAAAACTGAATCTCTTTTTGCTGCTATAGCCTCTCAAAAGGTAAAACATAAGGATGAACATGTCTTTTATTCAAACTCTGTTCGTAGTATTTGTATTCACTGACTTACTTAAAAATCCACTGCAGGAATTTAACTTTGATTTTCAATTTAAATCTGTAAATAGTTATGTTAAAAATCAATTTAGGAAAACACTGGAGTAAATTTGCAAATAAGTTTCAGAACATAAAATTTAGATGTTTTAACTTCCATTTCTTTTGTAATTTGTAATTTTATTGTTTGTTTGTTTTGAATTTCTCGCAAAGCTATAAGAGGGCTATCTGCACTAGCCATCCCTAATTTAGCAGTGTAAAACTAGTGGGAAGATAGCTAGTCACCACCACTCGCTGTCAACTCTTGGGCTACTCTTTTATCAATGAATAGTGGGATTCACCATCACATTATAATGCTCCCCCATAGCTGAAAGGGCGAGCAAGCTTGGTGGAAGTGTTTGAATTTCAATAAAATATGTTTTTTCAAACAAAAAATATAACAAGTTTTACTGTCTTATTTCATTTGTAATATATAAAAATTGTTTCTAGTAATTGATGACTTTAGTCATGAAAGATATGAATTTTTAATAACTGTTGAAATAAATAACTGACTGAGGTAGAAACTACAGTAATAGATGTAACTTTTTTGTAAGTTGAAATAATGCTATTGCAAACAATTTAAGTTTCAACTTAACACTTTCACTGTTGTTAAAGCAGAAGACAAATACTATTGGCAAAAATAGTGTTAAAAGTTGTCATACAGTTTATTGATTTTCTATATATATCATAACTTTTTGTGAAAAAAAGTTTAATAAAACCTATTTTTTAAATGTATTATTTTTAAAATCTGTTTATCTGATTCAGTTCTCTTCTCAAATTTCTATGTAAAACTCATGAGACATCTTAGCCCTATAAAAGAAGCTGTATATGAGATTTAAAAGTAAGACATGTCAAATAATTCTTTCAGGAGTTCTTCCTAAGGGCATGTTCCAGAAAGTATGAGCTGGGCATAAGATTTGATCCAAAAACATTTTAACATATATACATATATATATATATATATAGGTTAGATTGTTTGCCAGAGATGATATAGACTTCACTTGATGCAGTAGCATTAAAAGCCAGAGTCTTGAAACATTTTACAGCAGGTTTTGAATGAAAGAAGTTTTTTAACTTTGCCTGTAAAAAAGCCAAAAGTTGTATGTGAATATGATTGTAACAAGAAACAGGGAGATTTGTCATAAATAAGCAATACACAGCTCACTGAGATATATCTGAATTGAGATTCCTGACAAAAATAATAGAACAGTGCACTTATTGAAATTTTCATAGATCTCCTGGCCAAGATATTGCAGAAAAGAATAAGGGCTTGTGAAAGTTTTGATGATAATATATACAAGATTGATTATTATATATTACAGTTTTATGAAATTAATTAGTTGGCTAGCTGAGAATTTATTTTCTGTTTGAAAAACTGTTAGGAAGATTGCACTTTGAGTAGTTGGTTTCAGTTCAGAGAATTATATGGTCTGAGAATGTATGATTCAGGAGCATTTTGGTATTAATGATCATAATATTATTGTACTTGATCATGTTGGTGTTATGGTTTCTACTACTGAACTGGCCATTTTAAATGATTAATTAAAAATTATATGAAGTTCAGTCCACTTAATGGTAGTGAAAGTAGTTATTTCTTCAACTACAAGTTCTACATATACATGGTTTCACAGTTGGTAGTTTCTACTTCATAAATATCTCTAAACAGTCACTGGAAGTTTAGGAAACAATCTGAATGATATAAAATGTGAGTTTGGCATGAGTCTATATGAAATTATTAATTGATGAATTGTGTGTTTGTTTGACTACTTATTGAGCTAGCAAGTTCATTACTTGGTTTGCATGTTACTTCCAAATTTAATGAATATGGTTTGTGTTTTGATTAAGAAATAGAGATAAGAGAAGTACTATACATATCAGAAAATTAAAGATGCTGAACAGACTTAAAATAAGACCCAAAACTCGAGCACTTTTGAATAGTTGACTATGCTTCTTCAGGAGAACAAAGGGTGTTCTCCTGAAGAAGCATAGTCAACTATTCAA